TAGCTATCACTGGATTTATTTTTATAACATATTACATTCCTTCTGTGAAAAAACCAGCAGTGAATTGCGATTGTGCGCTATTTGCTGAATCAGCTGTTGAAATATTTACGGGAGTGTGTGATTATGCTTTATTTGGTAGTTCAGTTAGCAACAAAATGTTTACATTATCGTACAAAAAGTGGTAGTCCTCCTTGCGTACATATGTACATTTGTATGTACATATATTAGACTGCATCACGAAAAAAGTTGCGGCCTTTCCGCCGGGATTACAAAAGTTATTATGTTTGAAGACGTCCGTCCACCAAAATATTTCGGAAAAATATTAAGATTTACGTGAGCTGGACCGATTTGAAAATACCTCCAAAAATTGAGTTTTTTGTGAATAAAAATAGTTTCTTAAAGAACTTTTTGAAAAAAATCCCCTCAGATTACAAAACAGTTTAAGTTAAAAAAATCTCCATAACAATTTTTGCAATCATAATAAGAAGATTTTTGATAATTTTTTTTAGCTTTTTTCAAAGATTGATTTAAGAACAAGTAATTTTTAAGCAAAAAACACAACCGACTTCAATTCTCATATAAAAAATTAGGAATTATTTTTAGAAATTAGTAAGGGACTACCTTTGAGATACCACCTTTCCGACGAAAAATCGGAATTATTGAAATTGGTTCATGTGGTCCAAAGTTATGCGGCAACATACATAAAAAAATAAAAGTAAAAAATATTCCGACGAATTGATCACCTCCTCCTTTTTTTGAAGTCGGTTAAAAACTTGAATAACTGGGCCACAACTATTCCGATTCAGACTTGTGAGGTATCAGTTGAAAGGTATTTTCCCACACTTTTTATTTCTACGCAAAAAAAACTTATTCACGTCCCATTTTTATTTATTTTTTTCAAATACCGACACATCTTAATTCAACTTGGAATCACCCTCGTTCGTCCACCCTTTCTCTTTCATACTTTCAATCGTGAGAAAATACCTTTCCAATGATATCTCATAAGTCTAAATCGGAATAGTTTTGGTCCAGTTAGCCAATCTTTGAAAAAAGTTAAACAACAGTACAAAAATCTCATTACTATGATTCCGTTGAAAATTTGTTTTAATTATTTATATACAGATTTTTGAAGCTTAAACTCCTGGCGAATTTATATAAAGTGGTGTTACTAGATCAGCTGATTTTGTGTGTCAAATTCAAAAATTTTGTTTGCAGTTTACGCCGCCAAAGCAAAAACAAAATATGTACATGTACATTTTTGTTTTTGTACTCCTGCTATCACCCTATATTAACTCGTTACACTGTTTTGTCATCTGAGGGGATTTAAAAAAAAAATCTTTAAGAAACTATTTTTATTCATAAAAAACTCCGTTTTTAGAGGAATATTAAAATCGGTCCAGCACACGTAAATCTTAATATTTTTCCGAAATATTTTGGTGCAAGTCTTAAAATTTAATAGATTTGATAATTCCAATGGAAACGCATTACCATTTTTTTTTGTGGGGAATGATGCAGTCTAATGTATGTATATACAAGCAATATGTGCTACATACCTGCATATAAGGTGTATTGTGATTTTTCGTTTACGTCCCGATGACGCGTAACTTCTGCTTAGCTTTATCAGGTTTTGAAATTGAATTTCTTGACTTGATCACTGCATCACACTAAATTGTAATTTTTTCTAACTAAAAATGGGCAATTGGCCGACTTTTAATTCGAAAATGCAACTACCAGTTATTTGGCGATACAAGTAATGATGCTGTACAGTGGTGAAAATTATAAATAGCGACGCGACATTTTAACAAGTTTTGCTATTATTTTTGTTTATTTAATTTTTATGCTTTGTACAAAAATTAGAAAGATTCGAAATTGTTGAAAGTGTTTGCATTTAGTGCATATAAAAATATTATGGAACATACATACAGTATCGGTCATATCTATACCACGCCATTTCAAAGTGATATTGTGTGCCACTTATGTTCAGTTATTTATTTTTAAGAATTTTCAATTAAAATACAGTTCTTTCTCTAACAAACCCCATATAAACCCAAGTTTAACAATTTGTAGAAAACTTCAAAAAAGTGCAAAAAATTTTCACCTAAGTTTCAAACTTTTTTCTCGGAATTGTTAGAATTTTTTTGAGTACACAGTTTTTTAGCCACTGCAATTTTAGTCTGATAATGTGCAACTTTCAAGTGGCTACGAATTACCGTTAATTTTTTAGAATTTTTTTTGTCGCCTTGGCGTCCATATAATGAATAAACTGTATTTATTCGTATATGGATGAAAACCGCAACACCTTTGGCGAAGAAAATTCTAAAAAATCAACGGTAGCTTTCAATTCACTTGAAACTTGCACATTATCAGACTAAAATTGCAGTGGCTAAAAAACTGTATACTCAAAAAAATTCTAACACTTCCGAGAAAAAAGTTTGCAACTTAGGTGAAAATTCGTTGCACTTTTCTGAAGTTTTCTACAAATTGTTATACTTGGGTTTATATGGGGTTTGTTAGAGAAAGAACTGTATTTTAATTGAAAATTCTTAAAAATAAATAAATAAACATAAGTGGCACACAATATCACTTTGAAATGGCGTGCTATAGATATGACCGATACTGTAAATGCGTCACACCGTCAACAAAAAAAAAAAAAAATGCAAAAAATCAACGGTATTTTCTATCCACTTCAAACTTGTACTTTATTATACTAACTGCATACAAATTTTTTTCAAAAAATTCTGATTAAAAAGTTAGATAATTTGATGCAATTTTGTTGAAGTTTCTTGAATTTGTTGTTTTAAATCTGGAATTACATAGTTACGAGGTATACTTTCAATAAAATAATATACATACATTAAATGAAGAAAAGAAAAATAGCCAAAACTTGTTAAAATGACTCGTAACTATTTTTATTTTCGCCACCGTATGTGCTTTGTTTGTATCAGATTATAGTTTGTAATCGAAATATTAAAGTTCTATATTGGTTCATGCATATATACATGCATACATACATACTTTTCCACATACAGATGTATTAGCTGTGGGAAAATTCCTTTAGCATACTTCAAAAAAAAAGAGAGGTTATCAATTCGTCGGAACATTTTTTTTTATTTATGGACATATGTTACCGCATAACTTTTGACAATATTAACTGATTTTTTAAAAGGAGGGTGGTACCTCAGACGTGATCCCAGACTAATTTGGTTTAGATCCGACCATTGGATCATGAAGAAATTAACGATACTCTAAAATTAGTTTGAAGTCGGTTTTGTTTTTTGCTTAAAAATTACTTGTTTTTACAAGCGTATATTTAACTTACTTTGTATGAATGTATGTAAGTATGTATGTTTGTCAGGGGCAAATCTTGCAATAAATTTTTAACCAACTTCCGGATGACCTAGAGACTTTAAACTTCACAGTTGGCTCAGAACTAGATGACAATGCAATACGAAAGATGAATTAATCCGATAGGTGGCGCAGGAGTCGAGATATTTGAAAACCCTGTATTTGTAATCCGATTTGGTTCGTATTAAAAACGTATATTAATTACATGAAAAGGAATAAAAAATTTTGCCGATAGGTTGCGCAGGAGTCAAGACAACAGCGACAACTTCACGGTCTACTTTGTTGATACCTGCTAGGTAGACTTCACGAGGCTGGTGTCTTCTAGGTGGAGCGAGATGTAGTTATTCGAGAGTCTTGACCTTAGGTCTGACGAAAGTGATTGACCTGTAAAAGTCATCTAAGTAGCACAGTTTTTTTCTCTGGCTTGAGAATATATATCCTTTTTTCCTTTCACCTTACCAATGACAAGTTTAGAATTGTTGCGATTGATAAGCAATTAACTTGACTATGACAGCTACTGAATTCCTTGCATTTTTAACAATATTCAGCCTCATTGCGTAAGTCGTAAATTAGGCTAAATTGTACGACTCGACAACATTGGCATTGCCTACTGTCGTGCTGAAATAAGTAAACGACGAAAATCGTAAAAAACTATACAGTGCCGCCAAGTTTTTCCGTTTTAATGACGTGCAATTTTCGATACGATTCGACTGTAGAAAAACGACTTGCATTCGACACGACTCTCGCAATGAGGCCGATTGTTGCTATTTTCGAGCTGTTTAAATAGATTTGTTTAGATCGGCTTGTCAAGTGGTAAAACGTTCGATGTGTCAGCTCAAACGGAGGGCAATGGTATATAACTATGCTTTCCCATCCTGTTTATAGATCTGCGACAGTCTGCTGAAAAGTTGCATATGACAAAATCAAGCTAATTAAAGGCACCCGACTTTCTCGCGTAAACGTAGGATGTTGTCTTGTGATTACTCCTGTTCGCAGATGTCCAATTGCTTTATGTAGTCTAGGGTATGTGCTGATGTGACGGTCCTAGACCGGGTCTCCCCCAGTCAATCTGCTAAGAGTAAAACCTGCATACCATGGTAAGATAACGTCAGTCTTATAGAGCTACACTGTCACAGCATGTTAGGAACAATTTAGTCATTCGGACACTAGCATCTACGAAGCCCGTTGAGCCGAGAGCTATAGTTGGACGGCAAGAACAATAGTTTCCGTGAGGCTATCGCAGTTACCACTGCGAGGCATAACCTTGTCTGTGGAGGCCGTTTAGACCCGGTTTCGCCGCATAAAAAAAAAAACAAGAGTTACTTTGGCATAACTCAACTTGGTTATTGCAGTTGGCTTAACTCCTACAGTGTTAGGCGGAATCCTGAAATTGCTGATATTTGTCCAGTGTGTGGATATGGACAAGTTGGCATATCCCACCTTTCAGACAGTAGAAGCGCCTTAGATACAAGCAAAAGTGGCTACGCGCTTGCTGGCATTTAAGTTGGAGGAGTCATACGAGAGCAATCAATAAACCTGTAGGGCATATTATTGCGCGCTTTGTTTTACATTCCAACCGGGTGTTTATTTTGCTTGTGTTTACTCCTAAGCCGTTCTCTTTGGTCCATTCTTCGTCAAATATAAGTTTGGCCTGAATGCTCCTAAATGGTGGTAGATTTTTGGATAGTGTAAGTTTGCATCCATACTTTTACATAAGATGTATGTATATTTATTGCTTCATGATACACTATTATTCATTAAACATTTTTCTCCATTCATTTCCAGCATGACGCCGATGGCGATGGCTACATTGGCATACACGAACTCAAAGGTCTTATCAATGCTGGTCTCTGCAGTGATATTCCTGATTATATTGCTGCGCAAATTTTACAAAAATCAGATGATGACAATGATGGTCGTTTGGATTTTGAAGAATTCTATCGGATGTCTCAAACGCATAAATGGATGATAAGAAATATATTGACCAAGTATTGTCGGTTGGTTGTGCCGCCGCCAAAAGCAATCGAAGGCGATCAATTGGGTAGGCTAAGGATGAGCTACAAATATTAAATTATTCGGAATTTCTTATTGTGTTTTTTTCACTTCTATCATACAGATGGTGTCTACGAAAAGCAAATGTCCGTTTGCCCACCCCCACTAACTATGGTTATGTTCTCTATAATCGAAATTTTGTTCTTCTTGGTAGATGTTATACATTTTCAGTGAGTTTAATTGCAGCTGACAAGAGTAGACTTGAGTGCAAATTAATCTTTATATTCCTATTTTTTCAATCAGAGATGATCCCAACAACACTGCCAACATTGGTGAGAATACTAATGGTCCTGCCGCGACAATATTCATCTACAATCCCTACAAACGTTACGAGGCTTGGCGTTTTGTCACTTACATGTTCGTGCATGTCGGTTTAATGCATCTCTTCATGAATCTGGTTATACAAATATTCTTGGGTGTCGCTTTGGAGCTCGTCCATCACTGGTGGCGTGTGGCCTTAATTTATTTGGCTGGCGTACTGGCTGGTTCGATGGGCACCTCTTTAACAAGTCCAAGGATTTTCTTAGCTGGTGCTTCTGGTGGTGTTTATGCTTTGATTACGGCGCACATTGCCACCATCATTTTGGTAAGATATCATAAATTGAGCTACGACGAGAATTGTATTATTTTTTTATATTGCTTTATTACTTGCCAAACACAGAACTACAAGGAAATGGAATACGCCATTGTGCAGTTATTTGTATTTCTCATATTTTGCTTTACGGATTTGGGTACTTCAGTTTATCGTCATTTGACAGATCAGCACGATCAAATCGGTTACATAGCACATTTGTCCGGTGCCGTGGCAGGCCTGCTAGTTGGTATAGGTGTGCTAAGAAATTTGGAGGTCCGCCGATGGGAAAAAATACTCTGGTGGATCGCTGTTATACTTTACTTTTCGCTAATGATGACTGGTGTGTTGATACATGTACTCATGCCGGCCTATTTTCCCCGCCAGGAATTCAATTAATTCAATTTTATATGCATCTATTGCGTATATTTATTACAACTAACCATCTTTTAGTGAATAAGCGAAATTTTATAGCATGTTTACTATCATGGTATTTAATTAGAATAGCCGATTAGTCTGTTGCTGTATCGAACATACTATACTTAGACGCACATGAACAACTGAACAATAATCAGTTATACTACTCTATTTTTCTAGCTGTAAGTTTTCAATGTGTTGAGCACCAAAGTGCCTATAGAGGTTTGTGTATACACAAATTTCGACATAGAAACGTGTATAATTTATTGCAACCGAACTTATTTGATACCTTAAAAATATTATACATAGTACAAGAAGGGTGCTTCGATATGGACGGCAGCGTTTTTCGTCTCCAAAGTTGCTCGCTTATCATAATAGTTAAAACCTGTTTGAAACGTGTCGGTATCATTTATACATAAAACTCTCCAATCACAATTGCTAACTAATAATAGGATTGTTGCACTTGCTACTCGAAGAAAAGCTGCGAGAGTAAAGCAAAGAAACGCAAATTACGCTCCTTACATAAAAATTCGACAAACACTTCTTCACACAAAAATTTTTCCATTAAAGCTTGTATTAGTTTCTGTCATTTTGACAGCAGTGTTTTTCTCTCTCTTTACTGGTAAATTTATTGGTGGAACGCAGCTGTATGTGTAACTAGACTATGAATAGCTTGTGGACCACACCTAATATTTTAATATATTTATCATGACAGTTTAAAAACATATTATCCTTATTGGGAGCCCTTTTCTTTTAGTAGATAGTAAATGTAAGCAATTTAAATGAAGCCAAATTTGACATACAAACGCTATTTTGATAGCGCGTTTAAAGAAGCGTGAATTATTTAAATTATATTAGAAAAAAAGTAAGTTATTTTTCAGTGTATTTCTTTTTAATCGTTTTAGAGCTAAATCTAAAGCAGATATTAATTTATGTATTAGTTGATAAAAACGCATTTCAGAATTGACGCCTATTTTTAAGTACGTTCCATTTAAAACAAAAGTATTTACGAATTGAGGTATTTTTATATTCGTTATTGAAAAAACTGCAAAGCAAAGAATGTCCATAGTTTTAAAATCATTTAAACGATATCTAAAGTTAGCTATTTAAGTTTTTAAAACATATCAGAAGTATTTTTTTTTTGAAGTGAAGTAATTTGTTTTCTTTCAATAAATCACAGTACATATATTTTTTGTTTATGTTTTAACTTCGCTGTGAAGTATTTTTAGTATTTTATACTCATGTTAATCTATAAACAGAAACTATAATGCTTTTGTAATAAACTTTGTATGAAATAAACTAATAAATAAACTAACTGTGAAACAAATTATTAAATTTATATTGAAAATACCCTCGAAAGCGGGTAGAAAACCAGTTGTTGCAACCGAGTCGCGACAGATGATAAGGAATGTTAAAAGCGTGCATTGGTGTGGGTGAGTTGTGAAGTGTTGCCTTTAAAATAGGTAAACGGCTGATAAATACATATTCTCTATCATTAACTCAGCAATAAATATTGTGTATGGCGACTGATAGGCCAATGAGCAACCATATCGTCGATGTTTTTGCAAAACCGCCTCACCGCTCAATTGCAAAACCGCCCATCGCTCAATTGCAAAACCGTGTATCTTACGGCACTAAAATTTTACATGAGAGCGAAAAAAACGGTTTGTTCTTTGAAGGCATTGCCTTGATAGGCGGTATTTTCTCTAGCTATTATTTTACAAATCTGTTATTTTAATAACGATTTAACAATTTTTATGCATAAATCTCGATGTCTGGAGTTCAGGGTTACCGCATCTTGCCACATCGGCGATTTAGGCGGTTTTGCAACTGGCGGTTTTGCAAAAACATCGACGATGTACTAAAATTCGCAGTACGTAGGCTACTGGTTACTGACTGTCGGCTACTGAGTCTATTAGCAGAATTTTTTATTTCCCACTTATGCAGATTTGATTTGTTTTCATAAATTGATATACACATTAGAGCAAAGTTGCCAATTACTTCGAAATGTTCATGTCAAAAAAGTAAATTCGGATGTTGTCTGCGCTTTTCTGTATACTAAGACTAATCACTATTAATAATCAGACTCATTGCGTAAAGGCCTCGCCAGATAGAAATTGTTTTCTGCGTCACAATTTTGCTTTTGACTGACGTCCAAGTTAAATCTGTGATTTTGAATAGAAGACGCCACATTGGCCACGCACGCATTGCCGCAACTGATAAAATTCGCCCAACTCTCAACAATAAAAATGTATGGAACGAATTCAAACCAGCTGGTTTTTGACCAATCAAATTGAGCCGTTTTGTTTGCGGCAAAGGCGAGGCCTTAAGTCACAAATTAGGTTAAATTGTGCGACTCGACATCGTTGGCATTGCCGACTGCGTGCTGAAATAAGTAAACGACGAAAATCGTCGAAAACTATGCAGTGCTGCCAAGTTTTTCTCTTTTAACACACTAGTCGAGGGGAAATTTTAGGCCATGAGGCTGAATACAAATTAGGATACTGGTAGCCATTAGCCACTAGACCAGCAACTAGACCCCCCAATTTTCTGGAAGTCCGCAGGTCCCCAAGATAAGTCATCGTTTAACACTCAACTGGAGAGTGTGGCTTAGGAACATGGGTCTTCGTCCCCCCTTACTTAAATTGCTTATGCTCCTCTTACGGACCGATTAAGGGGAAACAATAACTTTCAGAGAACTGGGAAGATTCGTTCAGTGCTTATATAATTTTTTTTTTATACTCGATATCATAACACATATATATCCCTACTACCTCAAGCAATTTAATTTTAAAGTACAAAATTTATTTTAACAAGCAAAAAAGTCTATGTTCCGGCAAAGTCGAACTTTTATACATACAGTGAACCAAATAAAAACTGGGACGCGACTTTTGAACAAGCTTTGGCTATTCTTCTTTAGTTTACTTAATTTATATTATTTTTTATGAAAATATAGCTGATTACTGAACAAACAGCATATAAACCCAAATTTCAGGCTATGTGCAAAAATTATGAAGATTATGCAAAGTTTCAAATTTTTTAATCAGCATCTTTTGGAAAAATTTTGGTATGCAGTTTTGTAGGGCATTCAATTTGAGTTTAATGAAGTGCAAATATGCAGTAGCAATTTCTTTTTTTGCTGACGGTGGTACACATTTTTTTCCATGTATGTTCGAAAATTTTTTATATGGAAAAAAATCCAGAGCACCGTCAACAAAGAAAGCCTAAAATCAACGGTAGGCCTTAGCTACCTAATATTTGGACTTTATTATACTAAAATGGAATGGCATACAAAACTGCATACTAAATTTTTTCGGAAATGAATCTTTTATTTCTAAACTGTGTATAATGGAACTAAGGACCAGTTTTTCAGTGCCAGTTTAAACTTAGATTACGTAAACTGCGGTTGATTGGAAAATCTTAGTTTAAACTAGCCAGCTCGAGCGTTTAAACTAACACCCCTATTGCGAGTGTCGACTAGTAGTAGATAAAAGGCAGCGTTGATTAACAGCTGACTTTGAATACACACAATTATATGAGCATATCAACGGCAACGCCAACGCCAAAGTTAACGCACACAAAACGATGGGCGTTGCAAATAAATAAAATTATGTGAAATATTTTTAATTTTTAATAAAATGTAGTTAAGAAATATCATTTTTAATGCAATTATTGATATGAAATATTAATTTATCTGTCGTTAGTATGTAAATCTACATAGTGCTCATAGTTACTCTCCAGAATGGCACTGTCGACGACCTGTTTATGCCTAAGTGATTTGAGGTTTTGTAGCTAAATAAGGTATTTGACCAACAAACGTTTTCGACTGCATCGAAGTGCTTGAATAGGCCTAACGTCACAAGATTAGACAGAGAGTAGTGCCAGGCAGTTTGCGTCATCTATGCTGATGTAAGGCGTCTCTTGGTGCGACTCAATGCATCAGGGGATCCAAGTGTTTTAGTGACAGGCAGGGGAAGGATTGTTAAGTCGATATGAAACCCCAAATAGTACACATTTTCATGGCCAAAGAATCGAAATCATTATCCAATGTTTCTATAGACAGCTTGGGTAATATAGTTAGGTGCTTAACTTATTGGCCGAATGACTTTGCTTATTTAACATTGGCCACGATAATTAGTTAAAAAATGTTTTTTACTGGTTTTTATATGTATACATTTATTTGTTACAATTCCGTAGAGAATTAAACGTTCTTTTGTTGTTATTTTAACAAGTCAATTACATTGTTTCTTGCATTTAAATTCTTGCGAACTTATGAAAAATGCAATGCTTAGCTCAGCGACATTAACATAATTCAAATACATGCTCTAACTAAATGTGGACGAAGTACGTAAATCAGTAAATCATGTGATAATCTATTCATTAGCAATGCGAAAATGAAATGAACGTTAACAAATATGAAAGTAAATACAAAGAAAGTTAATGCTTGTTTAAAAAAAAGCTATCCCTTTTCTAAATTTGATGATGGATTCTTAACTAAATTAATAAATTAAGTAAACCCAACGAGACGAATAATTAATTTGGAATGAAAACGTTTAGATTTCGACATAACGAAAAGTGTTTAATCGTTAATTTGTTTTTTTTAATATCAATACAATTTTATTTTTAAGCCTCAGCTTTACTGAAGTCCTTGTCTAAACTTCAAAATTTAAAGTTTTATGGTTATTTTTAATCATACTATTTCCCTGTTATCTCGTTGGATTTCAGACAAATCCATTATCAAATTGTAGCGCCGAAAATTTGTTTAATTTCTTAATTGCTTGCATTATTTATGCGCTTTCTGATTTTCAATTGAATAAATCAACAAATGGATCAAATAAAAAAATGTATCTTTAGCTACATATAAATAGTGTTTTGACTGCCTTACGCCCTTAAGGCTACAAACTGATGGAACACTTCCAGTATGTGTGAGTCCAAGTCCGAGGTGAAGAGCAACGTCTCCAACGTGCTGCTGTACTTTTGCACTTGTTCGTGGTGCTGTTGCAAACGGATAAAAGAAAAATAAGTATTATTTTTCTGAATTTTGTCAAAAATTTCATTTTGTTTACCATTAGGAACACTTGCTGCAGACGTCCTATGGTCCAGCGATACCAATCGGTATCAGGGTCACGCCCATCTGTGTCAGAACGCACCAAATGTTCGGACAATATCATTATGAATCGTTGGAAAACAATCAAGAATAAACGTTTTTGATCCACATTTGCTGCTTCCAATTTCTCTTCCATACGTTCGACTACCTGTTGAGTAATAAGCGTAACAACGTTAACACTGTTCATATTTCAGAATTGAAAGTGGGATAAGCAAAAGAAGATGATATGATTGTCGATGAGCGATTGGAATTGTTGTGTACTATTTATTTTCGTACCGTGGTTTGTACCTTCTACTAAAAACGCAGTTTTATTATTGATCCCTAGTTTCACAAATATATTGATGTTCTTGTGTATGTTAAATTGACTGCCGCATGTTGTAATAATCACGCCAGAAACATTAGAGAAATTTCAATGAAATACTGAAAGTACTATCTCTTCCCTACTACTACACCTTTTCCAACAGTATTTCAGAAAAACACAAATGTATTTCAGAAAAGGCCAAATGAATTTCAGAAAAGGCCAAATGAATTTCAGAAAAGGCCAAATGAATTTCAGAAAAATTTAAATGTATTTCAGAAAACCTCAAATGTATTTCAGAAAAGCTCAAATGTATTTCAGAAGAGGCCAAATGTATTTCAGAAAAAGCCAAATGAAATTCAGAAAAACACAATTGTATTTCAGAAAAGTTCAAATTATTTTCAGAAAAACGCAAATGTATCTCAGAAAAGCACAAATGTATTTCGGAAAAATATTTTTAGAATACTGTAGAAAAAGGTGTAGTTTTTGCGGACATTTACGAACGGCAATTCAGCCGAAGAGCATGACGACGGCAATTGGTAAATCAGCAGAAACGGAAAAAGTGGAAAGAGCACTTCGCCTCTGGCGTGAGTAAGCTCTGGTCAACCAAGAGATCTCTGCCCAACCCGACGAGGCGCAGAGTGCAATTTTATTCGATGGTCGCGCCTCGTCGGATCCGAAGAGCTGCGCGAGCTATTTTAGCCGGCATCTCAAATTGAATCCTTCGGTAGATAACGCCAAACGTCGAGTGATCAAGGAGCTGCACAAACTGCGGAAAAACAATGCACCACTTACTTTCACCAGCGGCGAAGTGAAGGTGGCCATCGGGAAGGCGAAAACCTGCGGGGGGCAAAGAAAAAGAAACGTTGCTGGCAACATACATGGTAATTGGGGCTGGTTCTAAACTATGCTGCGNTGGCCATCGGGAAGGCGAAAACCTGCGGGGGGGCAAAGAAAAAGAAATGTTGCTGGCAACATACATGGTAATTGGGGCTGGTTCTAAACTATGCTGCGCCAGGTTGGTCACCGGGGACTAGTTGGACGCAGTGGACGCTGGACTCCGGACAGTTACAGGGTGCCTTCTGATGTCGCCAGAGCACCACCTACACAGCGAGGCACAAATGCTTCCCGTAAAGGAGCCACAGATGTGAACACCCCAATAAACCCTTCCTAGAGGAGTATCCTCTGCCCAGGCACGTCAGGGGGAACCTATTCATTTATAAGGACGCGTTCCAAACTCATACCGACCAACCACTGGGCCCGACGGCATTCATAGGGAGTCGGTCACCACCTACCACGACTCCCGGCCTATGAATGCAGTGATCGGAGCCCAATCACCACCTGTAGCAGAAACGGAGCTTCAACTGGCCCGGTTGCGGTCTGGATACTGTAGCCGCCTCAACAGCTACGAGTCCAGACTCGACCGCAACATCCCTAATGAGTGTCCGGCATGTGGACAAATGGCGCCATGTGGCACGACACCAACCACCTCTTCACATGCCAGCACAATCCCACTCAGCCAACAACCCTCTCCCTTTGGTTAGACCCTATTGAAACTGCGCATTTCCTGGGCCTACCGTTAGTTGATCTTTACGACAATGATTGAAGGATGAACCGAAATAGGCGGGGCTTAGTAGTGCCGCTACAACAACAACAAAAACAACAACAACAAGCAATAAATGGTCGCTACCATAACAACAAAAACTGATGCCCGGATGAGAAAGCCTAAATATTGGCCAACTGACAAACATCGCCTTGCTATACTCGGCGAAGTATAAGGATTTGTGCGAACCGCATTTGCTACTTATGCCTCATCGAACCGTAGAAATGCNCAAAACTGATGCCCGGATGAGAAAGCCTAAATATTGGCCAACTGACAAACATCGCCTTGCTATACTCGGCGAAGTATAAGGGTTTGTGCGAACCGCATTTGCTACTTATGCCTCATCGAACCGTAGAAATGCTTCGCATTATTCTCACAATAGCCCGAACTTAATAAGTTCTGCAAACTCACAAGGCGGAGCTACAAAACTATGGGCGGCTGACAAGTCATTGTTTAACCCGTCGAAGCACAACGACCATACGGACATCAGATTCGGCTATAAAATACTTCGAACCACAGTAATTTCGCGCTAGGTTTCTACTGACAACTTATTAAGCGCCATGGAAAGCACAAGGCCAGACGCACTATACTCGGCATAAAATCCGTCCGAATGAACCTCCACCAACATTCACATAGGTACAAACAGCGAACAATAAAGCTAACAAGGTGACGTTCTCTCTCCCTCACTACTCACAGCAGCAACATCTCCGCCGACAAAATTGGACTACCGCGCAACAATGTTATCGTTCCCATGAGAGTCGGGTCTACGTAACCCGGACGACCCAGATTTATATCTGGCCAAGTACTGTCACTCCAGCATCACTCCGAAAAACCTCTTTGGGAAGCTTGAATGCTGTTACAACAACAATGTTATCCCAATTCGTGACCGGCTAGTATAGCAGGCTCAACTTCTACACAGCCAGGATAGCTCCGGAAGTTGTGTGTGTTTTTCCATTTCTTTCTTTTGTACAATATTGTTTCCTCAAACTAACCAATATGAATTTGACAAAGAGTTTGCCAGCAAAGAGAGTTTATTGGTTTCACTCAATGAAAATTGAAAGCTAACGACATGTTATAGACCTGTGATTGCCGTGTTACCTTTGGCAAAACCCAATCAGTGCGAAAATTTACTCAACAGAAGCCATGCGAGAATTAAAACGGCAATCAAAATCACCTTATAAATTTGGCGTTCGTCGGATTTTCTTATCTTTGACGGCTGAGCGAACGCGTTGAATTATATTATGTGCTCGCGCATACTCAACTCAAAGCGCAGCCACTTTATAAGAGAACCTCCAACAGACATTCAAAAGTTTAGTGAAAATCACAAAACAAGCAAATAATACAAGTCAAAAAACTTGCGCCAACAGAAACCGTATTCTCAATTTTCCGCTTTTCGGCTGGCCGCTTAAAGGAAGCTGAAATCTTTTGTGTGCCAAACGAAGCGTTAACCCAAACAAAACGCGAAAACATGAGGTGAATAATTAAGTGGGTGAATGAGGAATGGAGCGCTCGCTCTGCATTGCTATCTCAATGGCCGACTAGCCGACATGGCGGCCTAAACAATGTTTACATTTAAATGTAGTGGCGGCTTAAAAAGTGACGCAATCCATATACAGCGATTCGCCACGCCACGCAGCAACGATTTTGCATATTTAATTACAATTTGTTTTTGCTTATTAATTTAAAGAAAATAAAAGTGTAATACGTCTAGCGTAAAACTAAATAAAAATAAAACTAAATTAGGTCAATTTATATTAAAGTAATGTACACCAAATCCGCAATGCGTTAAACTTTTGGCAATGAAAAGTGAAAATGCGGCAAAATTTACAAGATTAGTAATTAATTAGTAAAAGAATAAATATCAAAATACTTTTGCCATCACTTTGATTTATTGGCTTGCATATATATGTATATGTACATATATACAAACATATATACATATGAACATATACATATATACATATACAAACATATCTGTATAAACATACGAACGCATAATGAAAAAAAACTGTGCCTGCTAGACCAAATGCATTTACAAATTCATTATTTTTACAAAACAAAAGTAACCTGCTTGGAGATTTGTAACGACTGAATTAAAAAAAAAAACCAGTTGATCTCAAGTAAATAATTTGCTAATATTCGTATGTNGACCTGCTTGGAGACATGTAACGACTGAATAAAAAAAAACCAGTTGATCTCAAGTAAATAATTTGCTAATATTCGTATGTGCTTCTAATTTTTTTCTATGCTCACCTCTTCAGTTGGTTTATCTACGTTATTGATGGGCTTCTTACGCTTGGGCGTTGCTTCATCCTCCGATTCGCTGGACGATGAGTCCACTTTAGCCAACTTCTCCTTCGCAACAGTTAATTCGCTACCTGTATCATGAGATGTGTTTTTTTAGTTTCAATTCTAACAATATATTTCTACATACATACATACATACATATAAACTAATGCAATTTACTTACTCAATTTAATAACATGTTTATTCATTTTCTTTATGGTCAAATGGAGTATTTCCCACAAGTACATTTTGGTGAACTCGCCGGTCATCTCTTTGGAAAATATCCACGTAGCGACAGCAGAACAATCAACAATTTGTAATTTTAATAATTTATCTATAATGACCACCATCATTTGTTGATGATTCTGCCATAATTCGTAGACGTTGTGAAGTATGCAAATTTGCGCCTCCTCGGATTCGGCGAGGGCCTAGAAAAAGTAAGTTTAAATCGAATTTAAAATTATATTTTTATATTTTAGGCTTTCTGACTGTAGAAACTAAACAAAAAAAAACTGCATTCGAAATATACTAAGTTTGGTTCGACTTCGGCCAAAAAATGGCCGAACTATGGCCGAGTGCCTCACCTTAAACACCAAATGGAATTTCGATATTGCAGCGAAACTATGCGAAAACGATTTGGCGCCCAAATTCAATAATGTCTGCACGAACACATCGATTTTTAGTGGATTGAATGATGTCTCCGACATTTCCTGATCCGCATTTTCGCCGGAATTCGGCAACTCCTTTAGAATATTGATCACCTCATCGGGTGTGCACTTTTGTCGAATTGCCACCACCAATTGATGTGCCACCTGGGTGCCTGCCAACGACGCTGAAATTGTGTACAAAAAGAAAATAAAAATGCAAATTTATAAAACGCTTAAGTAGTTACAGAAATATTATTCAAATTTTGCAAATTGAATTTTAGTATAGCGAAGGTAAATGAGGAAACGAAATTGCCTATATAATTTATGATTAACTGGCTCGACAATACAAATACAACAAATAATATATACATACTCGTATGTACCTAGTTTGTACTGTGTTATGAAATGGCAAGCAGCGCATCGAAGTTGTACACACTTTCGCTTATAATAGAAATGTTAAGTCGTATGATGTTTTGTCATTTCTGGGGGACAATGCACTGGAATGCAATGCAATGTGGCAAATGCAGTCCACATCAGTCGGCGGCGGTAATTGTTGATGCCGTTGTTGCGCTTTATGCATTGCACATTTGGAGTTGCATAAATCGTAGGTATTTTGAAGTGTCGCTGCTCCGAATTTGTGCCAACTATTGTCATTAGTGACAATATTAACGCCGTCGCCTAAGCTAAACATTAATTTTTTCTTCTTTTTTATATCTTTTTTCTTTCTTTTCAGATATTTTTGTTGTTTTTTTTTTGCTATGCTCACTCATTGCGGCATAACTACTTTTTAAGTACGCTATAATGTGTTTAATAGCGCAGAAAAAAACCAACACTTATGTAGGTGTCGCAGGTATTTGATTTGTAAATTTAATTTTCGATGAATTGATACAAAACAGATTGCACCCCCACCCTCTGCATAGAACTTGAAGGCAGATCTCTCAAAGTGAGGAGTAAAAGAGCACTACTTGACATGATTTGTGCTCCTTTATTACTAGCTGAAGAGCAAAAAGCGAACAATATAATAATGCTCCTTGTGGGTTGGGGCGGAATGCGATATAGTAGGACTTCGGGGTTTGCAAATAAAATTGCTAAACTTTGCTCAACTCTTACGCAGTTACCCGCGGACGTAAAAACGGAGATCATCTCTCTCTCTCTATATATATCAACAGCAAATTTGATGTTCCTCTGCCCGTCAACCTACATTTACGCTACCTCGCACAGTGTTTTGACTATATGGAGGTAGGTGGAAAAAGTCGTGCTGACATTATCTGCCCTTTGAAGCTTTGTCAGGGGGTCAACCAAATTCAGAACGCACTATTTTAGAATTTGGTTGAAGAACGCCCAAAGAACGGTTCGAATTCTGAAATAGTGCGTTCTTGAAAAGTTTTCTGAGATAAGACGTTTTCGAACTGGCTGCCGAGTTAAGAGTTGGGCCTCAGGAAAGATATCGCGAATATCACGTAGTTGGGGTTAAACAAGTTTCGGAATTTTTGTACAAAAAAAAAACGACACAACATCGTTTTCCGTATAATTTTCGTCTGGACTTAAGTCGACACTACGGATGTTTTTAACATAAATCCCTACAAAAAACCGACCGTTATTAATTTTTTAGATCTCCTCTGCACCGAAATATTTTTGTTCAATTTGGTATTTTTTCACTGAATTAATTTACAAGTTAGGCAATTTTTGCGTCCAATTCGGCTACACTATACATGCACGTATTTACATACATAGATATTTTTTTATTAAATCTCCTAAAGTTCGGTGATGCAAGACTTGGGAATTTGACTTGACTTACATAGAAACTTGGAAACGATTACTCTGCATGTCACCTATTACTTTTTCTCTCTGTTTTGATAAATAATAGGGTAAAATTGTAAAGGTTTAATTTGTTTGGTTTAAAAATGGATAAACAATGAAGTTATTCTTTTGGGTAACTATGTGCATACACGCGCTGCTCATTTGCCAGATAAATATAGCATTTCCAAGTCAATTTGGAATTTTTTTACCTTGTATGTTTTTGTTATGACTGACGTTAGCACCATCTATTCCAATTTAATGGAGGAGCATCTTTCGGCCTGTTTACTACAAGAATCTCTCAGTAGAATATTTATTATAAAACTATTTAGTCAAGGGTGAGAATCGTGATGTTATTTTTCCTAAAAATATGGCAACCGTGCGAATTTTCAAATTCATACTATGTAGATGAAAAAAACTTTTCTACTCCTACCCAAAAAAATGGTATGTGAACATATGTTTGTATGTATATGTACATACACTTGCGATCAGCTGATTAAGTCAAGTGATATTTTGACTAATTTTGGCTATTTTGCTTTTGTTTATTTAATGTTAAAATTTTTTTTTTATAAAAGTTTAGCACTTTTCCTAACCAGGGCCACATAAATCCATATTTCAAACTTCGTAAAAAAATCATAAAAATTCAACAAACTCTAATAATTGCATTCAAAAATTTTAAACTTTTTATTTAGAATTTTTAGAAAAATTTTGGGTATGCAGTTTGTAGCTCATTAAATTTTAGTTGGTTAAAGTGCAAATTTCAAGACGCTAGAAAATTGCGTTGATTTTTAACAATGTTTTTTGCTGATGCTACTAGGCATTTTCTCTCATACAAACGAAATTGTCGAGCATACTTTATTGAAGTTTGAAGTGTGGATTTATGTGGCCCTGGTTAGGTAAAGTGCTAAATTTTTATTAAAAAAAAATATAAACATTATATAAACAAAAGCAAAATAGCCAAAGCTAATCAAAATGTCACTTGACTTAATCAGCTGACCACAAGGGTACATACATCAAATGAAGTAGCGGTAATAAAATTTGCATACTTCGGAAGAAAAACAAATACAAGGTCGATGTCATGATACCACCTACCAACATTTGACTACAGATTCTAGTATTAACTCATCTAAACAAGTGGACAAAGTCAATGTGATACCGCTAACAAGCAAGCTAGGAGGTAAGAAAAAATTGTGAAAAAACAGTGAATCCACAACTTAACATCAAAAAGTCAAAGTTTAGTGAATTATGTAAATTTTGCTCTTTTGTATTTTTAATTCATCGTTAACGAGAAAATTGTGAGGTAAGCTATTATTTTTTTGGGAAATTTTCACACAGCTATTAAATAATAATAGATGAAAAGCAAACAATAAATCATAAAACCGCTACACGCGCCACACAATGGTAATTTAAATTGTAAAAATGTCAATTAAACATTAAAAGCTACTTTACGATTATAAAATAAATGGCTTGTAAAATAAATTAAGTAAAAGGAGTACATCTTAAAAATTGTTTGTGGGAAGAGTATGTGAAAGTACTTTTAAGTTAGCCAAAACTTTGCTAAAATGACTTTGTGAAGGGTGAAGAGCGTGGATATATTTAATCTCGACATAACCCAATGAATTATTGCAGAGCTAAAGACGTAGAAGAAGCAACATCAAACTGCAAATTTATATAGTGAGTACAGATTCATAGAAAGTTTTTTTTTTGATTTCTCGTTTCTAGTAAGGATTTTCGACGCGTAGCCAACCAAAAACAGGAAATTCTGAATTCTTAATCAGACAGATATAAATAAACAAGTATTAGGTTTGTTCCACGCGAGCCCGCGAGATCCGNGATTTCTCGTTTCTAGTAGGTTTTTCGACGCGTAGCCAACCAAAAACAGGAAATTCTGAATTCTTAATCAGNTGATTTCTCGTTTCTAGTAAGGATTTTCGACGCGTAGCCAACCAAAAACAGGAAATTCTGAATTCTTAATCAGACAGATATAAATAAACAAGTATTAGGTTTGTTCCACGCGAGCCCGCGAGATCCGCGGGTACCCAAAACAGCCCAGAAGGCGTCCGTCACGCTAGAAAAATCGGTAAGAGGGCGACTCAGTAGCATCAGCTGTGGGCCCTCATTGTGCGATTTTTGCGGGCGTGGGGCAGTAATTCTAGCACTGGAGTAGCGATAACCACACAAAATAGTCTGAGATGTCGGTTGACTGGAAGTCATGATCTTTATGTATTATATATGTACATTATGTATATCACTCAAATATTATAGCTGCGAGAGTAATTTGCTAAGTACAAGAGTTTCTTTACAGTGAATACTGTGGTGACCATAAACAGAAACCAGAAGAAAACAGATTTAAAAATTATCGCAAAGATTTATACACACAATATACACGGTGGCGAGAATGTTAATAGGGAAATGACATTTTAGCAAGTTTTGGCTACTTTTCTTTGTTTAAGAATCATTTATTATTTTTTTATGAAAATATAACTTACTATCTTAAAAACATGTAAGTCAAAATTTAAAACTTTGCAGAATACTTATAAAAATTCGACGAATTTTAACAAATGTTGATCAAAATTTTAAAAATTTTGTTCAGATTTTCTAGAATTGTCTTGAGTATGCAGTTTTTTATCTCATTAAATTTTAGTACAATAAAGGACAAGTTTGAAGTAGATGAACAACACCTTCCACAAAAAAACTTACTAAAAATCAACGGTACTCATGTTTATAAGAAATCTAATAAAAAAGTTCAAAATATTGATGAATTTTTGTCGAATTTTGCTCATTTTTGTTTGAAATTCTGATAATAACGAGCTACACTTTCGTAAAGAATATTAAACATTAATACTAAACATTAAATAATCGATAGGAATAGCCAAAGATTGCTAAAATGTCTCTTCCCTATTTATATTTTCGCCACTGTATCTACAGCTTATATTTTTTAAATCCATGAATTTTTCGAGGGAATGATTATTATTTTTTATAATTTTACTAAGTTCAAGTTAGAATCGTTTCATTAAAAAAACTTAAACAATTAAAAGACCTTAAAAAATTTAGACGATATTGCGAATGCACCAGTTTGACAGAATTAAACATAACCAAAGATCATAGAAAACAAGGATACATATGCCCTTTGTGATAACGATTGTGCTGCCACGTTTGCACGAAAAATTATTATATTAATAAATAAAACCCTGAAAATCGGTACTTAGGGCCAAATTCACAGTGCGTAGTTAACCACTGATAAGAGTTTAACTATTGATTTTCATATTCACAACGCTCAGTTAACAAAAGTTTAAACCAGCATTCCCCCATAGTTAAACTCTTGTGAAATTTAATTTTTTTTGTGGAACGAATTTCAAATTTGAATAGAAAAGTATTGATTTTTAGA